AGACCCCTGTGAAGACCCCGGTGGAAACTGTCATGTTTGCAGTAGCCTCCGGTAGCGAGACCCCTGTGAAGACCCCGGTGGAAACTGTCATGTTTGCAGTAGCCTCCGGTAGCGAGACCCCTGTATGCCGGAAGACCCGTGCCTCTAAGCTGGCTAATGACTTGCCCTCTCCCTCAAATTACTGGTCCACTGGGTGTGGACGGGGGAATACCATGCGTGAAATCACGTTGCCTAGAAGCATGGAGGCGTACCTTCAGACATACTTGGATCACTGTTTGGGTGTCGCTCCGACAGTAAAACAGAAAGACAATGTTGTGTCGAAGATCAGCCGGATAAAGAACTTCATAGTATACATGGCCCATGGTGTTAACCGCCTGTCAGACTGGCTGTTCCTAAGAAACATGAAGATGATCCGTGGCTGGAGCGAGTATATTGTAAAGCCGGGCCGGGCAGTCACAACATCAGAGTTCTTCCTGAAGAATGTGCACCAGTTCATGGGGTACATGTCTGAGTCAAAGCCCCGGGGGTGCAAGCTCACCCAGTCTGATATGACCCACATAATGAGAGAGGTGAAAGCCAACATGAAACACTTGAATAAGGCAGTCACTCTACATCAGTTTAAGGTGAAGAGGAACAAACTGGATCGTCTGCCGAGCCAGGCGGAGCTTCTCGCCGCCATGGCGGCCGCTGAGAAGCGCATCCCGGAGCTCCTCGACCTGATGGCCGGCACGCCGACCTCAACCACCCAGAAGCTTCTCTATGGCTATCTCACCCTCCATTGGAGCCTCCTGTATGGCCACCGTACGGGCGTGTACGCAAACATGAAAAACAGTGAGGTCTTAGAGGCAGCCATAAGGGGAACTGCTGAGGGCTACATCATCCATGTGCAGGATCACAAGACGGCCAAGACATATGGCGAAGCACAGCTGGCGCTTACAGTAGAGGAGTTTAGCTGGGTCATGCGGTGGATGGGGATTAAAGAGGCATTGCTGGGTCCTCAGAATGAATTCTTCCTTTTCACAAGGGGGAATCGGGCCTCCAAGAACCTGAACGCTCACTTGAAGAGGGCATGGGCTGATGCTGGGCTAGAAACAGCCGTCACCTTCACAATCCTGCGCACTGCCCTGGCTGACAATATCAAGCATCACCAAGATCCAGAAAGCCGGTCGATTCTCGCCAGGTTTATGTGTCACGACGTAACCACGGCGGACCGGTTCTACGCGAATGCGCCAGGTATAAAGGAGGCATTGAGAATCCGCTCCATGTTCAGGGCGTCATCAGATGCGGCAGCAGCTGCATCATCATCAGAAGGATGTCTACCGCTGTCAGATGGGGAGACCTCCGAAGAGGGCTGCTATAACAGTACAGCTCTATCATCTTCACCTGATGGGTCATTGGAGCGGCAGCAGCAGCGGAAGCGGAAGCGGGAGGGAAAGAGGCCAATGAAGTCGGGACCGGGGCTGGTTGACACTCCTGATGATGGGGCAGGGGCCGTGGACTCAACCTGTTTGCCCTGGTGCACCGTAAGAATTAGACGCCTAATTTGGTCCCCTGAATCCCGCTAAACATTGTGAATATGTATACCGTGTATATAATTATTATTATAATCCTGTGTATACATTTTGTAAATAGTACAATATCTCCAGGGCGCATAACTGCACTTTACAAGCCAGGAAAGGTGCCAGAATCCTGGGCATACATTTTGTTAATAGTGCAACACCTCCAGGGCGCATAACTGCACTTTAAAACGTAGGTTAAGAAATTTAGTAGTACTGTTATAGCAGCAGTAGTACGTGTAAATAGTTTATGTTTTAGCCTCTCTGTACTGTGTACTGTGTTTTTTGTTCAAATAAAATAAAAAATAAAAAAAAAACAATAACCTTGATGGTTACCAGGGGCAGAAAAAGTGCCACTTTCCATCAGCACCGGGGAGGCACTCTCCTTGGTGCTGAACCCTGTGATGAGCGCTCAAGTGTTGGCGGAGGAGGTGTAAGCCAGAGGAGGGTGAACAAAAGTTAAAGTGTTTGAACCTCCAGCCCAGAAGGGGGGGTGATGCCGTGAAGAAGGCTGAATATGGATGCTGATGGGCGGACACAGAAGCACCATAAAACCACCCCCTTGTAAGACCACCAGGGGCACGAGAATACCCTCCACAGAAGGGGGGGTGATGCCGTGAAGAAGGCCGAATATGGATGCTGATGGGCGGACACAGAAGCACCATAAAACCACCCCCTTGTAAGGTCACCAGGGGCACGAGAATACCCTCCAGCCCAGAAGGGGGGGTGATGCCGTGAAGAAGGCCGAATATGGATGCTGATGGGCGGACACAGAAGCACCATAAAACCACCCCCTTGTAAGGTCACCAGGGGCACGAGAATACCCTCCAGCCCAGAAGGGGGGGTGATGCCGTGAAGAAGGCCGAATATGGATGCTGATGGGCGGACACAGAAGCACCATAAAACCACCCCCTTGTAAGGTCACCAGGGGCACGAGGTTCTGGTGGGTGTGAATACCTGTGTTTAGTCCGTGGGGGAGTGCTTAACTGTGGGGGCCCGGGGACTCAGGGTGTGCAAGGTTATGGAGGTCCCACTGTTAGGGGCCCATGCTGGAGGTAATTAGTCCGTCCTTGGGGCTCTGTGAGCGGGCAAAAAGAGGTGATTTCCCCCTGGTCTCTGCTGGAGGTGCAGAGTCCCACTGTTAGGGGCCCATGCTGGAGGTAATTAGTCCGTCCTTCGGGGCTCTGTGAGCGGGCAATGAGAGGTGATTTTCCCGGTCTCCGCCCTGGAGGTGTGAAATAAACAGAGTCCCCCTGTTAGGGACTGGTGCTGGAGGTCTCTAGTCCGTCCTTCGGTGCTCTGTGAGCGGGCAGAGAGAGGTGATTTCCCCCTGGTCTCTGCTGGAGGTGCAGAGTCCCACTGTTAGGGGCCCATGCTGGAGGTAATTAGTCCGTCCTTGGGGCTCTGTGAGCGGGCAGAGAGAGGTGATTTTCCCCTGGTCTCTGCTGGAGCTGTGAAAGAAACAGAGTCCCACTGTTATGGGGACATGCTGGAGGTCTCGAGTCCGTCCTTCGGTGCTCTGTGAGCGGGCAGAGAGAGGTGATTTTCCCCTGGTCTCTGCTGGAGCTGTGAAAGAAACAGAGTCCCACTGTTATGGGGACATGCTGGAGGTAATTAGTCCGTCCTTGGGGCTCTGTGAGCGGGCAGAGAGAGGTGATTTCCCCCTGGTCTCTGCTGGAGGTGCAGAGTCCCACTGTTAGGGGCCCATGCTGGAGGTAATTAGTCCGTCCTTGGGGCTCTGTGAGCGGGCAGAGAGAGGTGATTTTCCCCTGGTCTCTGCTGGAGCTGTGAAAGAAACAGAGTCCCACTGTTATGGGGACATGCTGGAGGTAATTAGTCCGTCCTTGGGGCTCTGTGAGCGGGCAGAGAGAGGTGATTTTCCCCTGGTCTCTGCTGGAGCTGTGAAAGAAACAGAGTCCCACTGTTATGGGGACATGCTGGAGGTAATTAGTCCGTCCTTGGGGCTCTGTGAGGGGGCAGAGAGAGGTGATTTCCCCCTGGTCTCTGCTGGAGGTGCAGAGTCCCACTGTTAGGGGCCCATGCTGGAGGTAATTAGTCCGTCCTTGGGGCTCTGTGAGCGGGCAGAGAGAGGTGATTTCCCCCTGGTCTCTGCTGGAGGTGCAGAGTCCCACTGTTAGGGGCCCATGCTGGAGGTAATTAGTCCGTCCTTCGGGGCTCTGTGAGCGGGCAATGAGAGGTGATTTTCCCGGTCTCCGCCCTGGAGGTGTGAAATAAACAGAGTCCCACTGTTAGGGACTGGTGCTGGAGGTCTCTAGTCCGTCCTTCGGGGCTCTGTGAGCGGGCAGAGAGAGGTGATTTCCCCCTGGTCTCTCCTGGAGGTGTGAAATAAACAGAGTGCTACATTTTGTAAATAGTGCAATATCTCCAGGGCGCATAACTGCACTTTACAAGCCAGAAATAATGTTTAAATGGTCGGGGAAAGTATTTTTAAATGTCTGGAAGAGAGTTTTAGACAGTCATTTTGCACGAAATCATTTAACATAGACGCTCTCCTGAAAATGCACAGAATATGTGCTTTTTCAGGAGACCGTCAATGTTAAATGATTTCGTGCAAAATGACTGGCTAAAACCTCGGAATAAGTGTTTGAAAGGCGGGGAAAAGTTGTTTAAAATAGTCTGATACCTCCAGGGCGCATCACCAAAAATGTACAAGCCAGGGAAGATGCCTGAATCCCGGATACTTTAGGTCTGTCACTTAGGGTGACCGCACCACTCCGACGCTCCCGAGAGCGGACGTCCATTGTTTGTAAGGCACCTAAGAGGGATAGGGTTAGGCTTAGGGTAAGATATTGAGTAAGAACATGTTTTTATGAACCACACAGCTTCTGGTCTTCCAAGACCCGACCGGACAAAAAGACGTGTTGCAGGCACGAAACATACTACCAATAGAAATACATTGCATTTAAAATCGTTCTGTGTGACACGAAAAAAAGGTGAAAATCGTGTTGGTGAACACGAATCAATAGATTAAATTAATTTAAACGAAATGCCGTGAGACTGGGTTGCTCTTGCTCTCTTGCATATCATGTATTTATTTTTTGCTATGTTTACAAATGTCATGTTCTTATATGTTGTATGTCAGGGACTACGGATGGAAATTAGCTCAAAGCTAAAATCCGGCATATTTACACTTGAAGCATTATTTGTCTTACGTGTTCATTAATGTGCATTGTCCCTATTCCAATAAACGATTAAATGAAAAAATGAAAATGTTGATACATTTGAGTCCAGACTGAAGTGGTGGACTATGACTGACTGGGAGACAAACATTCTGTAAATTGCAAAACAGCTTCATGCTGCTACTGTGGCTAAAAAATATATTACTGTTAAATCAACATACCTTCAATGATGCTCAAAGCATTCTTGAGGGAATCATTCTCCCTCTCCAGTGCAGCAACCCTTTCCTCCAACGTCCTCAGGTAACTCTTTTCGTTCACCTCTTGGGCCTATCAAAAAGCACACCATTAAAAAAAAAAAGGTTAGGTTTAAAAGCCAGTGGTGGAAAGTTAGTTCTAAATAAATGTACTTGTGTTTTGAGGATTTAGCAGCCAGGTATGTATTGCACAGTTTAGGTAAATTTAGGTCACTGCACTTTGGACTTAGTATAAAACAGATACATACCTTCTGAAGATCCTTATATTTTTTGATAATGTCTGATGACTCCAGCCGTGATTTTTTGCTTGGTCTCTCCTGAGAACACACAACAACATACATACATATTTGTTTTTGTGTGTGGTTGTGTGTGTATCTTCATAAAGTTGTGGTGTTTCGATTTTGAATAACTCACCTCTGACTGTTCCACGTCGTCGTCCTCCTCCAGAAAAGGCCTCCTTTTCTTTGCCCTCTTGCCTTTTCCCATCGGCCCGAAGCAACAAATATATTCAGCCTATTACTTTGTACAATCCATATATATATATATAGGGTACATCAACATTTGTATGTGAGTCACATTGTCTGCTTACATGACAATATGTTGGTAATGATACTCTGTATAGGAAAATATAACATATGGTCATGCTACACCCATTATGAGTATACTTAGCTGATAATACCTATGTAGCCAGGTGAGTTAAACTATATATTAGTGACAGCTGGTGAAAAATATTTTAGGTGGGGCTGTGGAAGATGGGGATGATGGGGGCATATTTTATACCAGGGATCTGCAACCTTTTTGAAACTGAGAGCTACCTGAAGGATAATGAACTCTATGGAGGGCTGCTTTTTTGATATAATCTTTCTGAAGAATATAAGTATATTTTTACTAATTACTGTTTCCAATGGGCGACACTTTTTTAGATAAAAAACAGTATTTTTATTTTTAATAATAACTTTAGAGCGGATTTATAGAGCGCCTTTCATTATATATTTCGGGTAGCAACGGTCAGCGATTGGTTGGCTGCTGCTGCGCTGGGGTGCTTAATTCCCAGACGAGAGAGGGTAATGATTCTAATGAAACATATAACGGTGAAGATTTTATATATTAAACAGTATTGTACTTATTATAAATATAAAACTTTCCATCCTAGCACCTCTATTGACCAGCCGCCACTGCTATATATTAACAAATAAAACATAGGCTTAACAACTGTTAATAATTATGATAAGCTGTGTGATCTATTTAAATATGCCAACTTACCGCCAGTTGATAACACTTTAGCAGTCCAAGCCATCTTTTTCCCATTGTGGGGCCACCAGACAAGATATTCCTTGTCCAATTCAGGATCGTACTCCCCCTCAATTAAATGTAACCGGCCAACTTCTATGGCAGACGTGTCAAACTCAAGGCCCGCGGGCCAAATGTGGCCCGCCACGTCATTTTATGTGGCCCGCGAGAGCTCGCAAAGAATATAAACAGTTTATTATACGGTTACATGCCGTTTAAGCACGTTGCCCATAAACTGCATGTCCCAAAATGCATTTCGTTTTGTGACGTGCGCACTGAAGCGACTTCCTATCAGCAGCGGCACTCTGAGGCGGTGAGTGACCAGTGTGTGACTGTGAGTGACACAGAGTTGAAGGAACATAATTTACAGCGGCACAGAGACACCAAACACGGAGCAAAGTCTGCTTCAGCAACCGAGACAAGCAACTCCAGTCCCAGAACAAACAGACAGAATGACCCGCTCTTTAAGAATCAGTCGGTGTTGCTGCGGCTCAGAGACACACATGGATTTATTATGTTTTAGAAAAACTCGCGTTACGGTTATTTCCGGTTTCTGGTTGATTAAAATATATGAGGTCTTGGCTTGCAGAGTATGAACGTCTTTTTGCTATATTCAGACGATAAATACCTATAAATACTTGTGTAAAGTTTGTAAAGGAAGGAGGAAAACTTCCGCGATCCCTGTCCCCTCTCACTCTGTTCCTCCTCAACACGCCGCCGCCCCCCCCACTCACTGCTTACTGAAATAGTGAGTGACAGGTGATAGTAACACAGCAGGATCTGGGACAGGGGGTTCTCAAAGTCTTGGCTTTCAGACTATTAAAATATTATTGCTGAATTCAAATGAAATATAGCCTTCTTAAATAATGCTTGATATACAAAAGAAAAATACTTTATTATTCACAAAAAATAGATTTCACAAACATTGTATCTCTTTTTGATAAGATATGATGAGGCTAACTACATTTCATGGGATTTATGTAACAGTAAGAGAGTGAAATGTTAGTCTGAGCCCACATACAGTATTTTTGTGTCTACGTGCACAATACATTAATGCACAACCATGTGCTTTCAGACGTAGTTATTGCCAAAACCAATAATACTCCAATGCAGAGGCAATATTGTTATACAGTATAAAACATTATTTTGATATTTATATATGTATATTTATATAGTGTTAAAATTACAACCGGCCCTTTGAGGGCAACCATAATGCTGTTGTGGCCCGCGATGAAATTGAGTTTGACACCCCTGTTCTATGGTATCATTGCTGAATTCATACAGCCCGTACATTTTTGGTTCAAAAGTAGCTCTAAGTAGTGGCAACAAAGTGATTACAAACCGGAGATTGCAGTTGGCACTGCGGAGGTCTGTATCCTAGCAACGCTAGAGAAGCGGGAAGCGCGAGGCGAAAGTTGGGCACGCGCACGTCACCAGTCACCACTCACCAGCTACCCTCAGCGGCAGAATAATCCGTGCCTGGAAAAAGTTCTTTAGTTTTGATTCTCATTCACAAAAAGAGAGAAAACCTGAGAATGTACAAAAGATATTTGTATAGATATTCCCAGGACTACAAAACGGTACCGGAGGACCCGTATGGAGGCACAACTTGTGACAGGTAAGGACGGGTTTTCTCTTCATATTGGACGAACGGGATGAACTGCCAATATAACACGTATTTCATTTGGTGGTTTTTGTCTCACATTACTGTATTCAACGAATTATAGCAGAGTATACTACAACATTTTGAAACGTTTTTTAGATGTATAGATTCACTTCGTGTATACTGCTATTATTCCTATTTTGATAGCAGTAGGGCAATATGTAAATTATGTTATATAACATATAAAATCAATATTGACTCTAAAAAAGCTGAGACATACATAAACCAAACCTAGCTTTTTGCTGAGATGCCAAATTAAAATGCCCACAATCAATGTGTGTATAAATGTCTGTGTAACAGCTGTGTGATTTTATCAATTTACAGACTCTGACTCATCCAGTGATGAAGCCTCAAATGAAGATCGAATGGTGGGTGAGAGTATAATGTATTACAGAGACAAAAGGTTGTGTTAGATTCATTCAAATCATATTATCAGGATAGTTATTGTGTAGCCTTTTGCTTTATCTCAGGCTGATCACCATTCTGGCGGGACATCAGATGACAGAGGGGAGGATCCACATCATGAAATGGTAGTTTTTTGCATTGACTGATCCAGACTTAAGAAATTGGACTCACTGGTGGACTTATGACTATGCTACTTGGTCACTGATATTTTTTTTTAATGCATTGCCACTGTGCATTGCCACATGGTCATCGTTCGTCTGTCATGTACTGTCTTTGTATCCTGCTTGAATGCTCTTTTTATGATGCCTGCCTCAGGAATAGCCCCTCTTTTTTTTATTGAATTAATTTGATTTATACTTTTCTGTCTCTCAGAGTGACGATGAAGTAGAGATGGCTGCAGACGACGAAGGAACAGATCAACAACATGAAATGGTACAACATAAACATGCAGGGATTGTTTTACTTATTAAAAAAAGAATTTATTCTGTTAAAATCCATGACCTTTGCTACATTACAGGTAGCAGTAAGAGACAACACAGTTTTCTATGATGATAAGAATACAGATTTATCCGACACAAAATGAGTTGGGTTACAAATATTTAAAGGGCCCATGTCATGGCCATTTCCACTGATCATAATTACATTGTTGAGGTATACTAAAATAGATTTATACTGTGCAATTTTCCAAACTCACATTGGTTTCGCATACAGCATCTCTGTCAAGCATGTGTATTCAGCAGTATTCACTTTCTCCACTAAACGACTCGTTGGAGCTCTTGCCCCCCCCTCCCTGTGAGCCTAGTGTGCTCCGATTGGTCAGCTCGGCCACTCGTTCTGATTAGTCAACCACCAGAGAGGCTGCGCCCATGTCAGTGCTTTTCCCGGCTGCTCTCAGCGTAACATCAGTCTTATCATGGCGTCGGTACAGCGGTATATTTTATATACATATATATTTTTAACTGTTGTTATAGAAGAGTGTGACGGCCTCAGGGCCTTTGTCTTACGGTGGGGTGGAGCTGAAGAGGGTAATCAGCGCGATCACGGACACCTCCGTAGCCGGTGCTATTAATCCCAGCGGCCCGGAGTCTCTCTCCAAAGCGGCTGCAGAAGGACGAACTGAGCGACCCTCTCCCCTCGACCACCTGTCTCTGCATTTACCACAATAAATGTGCCGTGGTTTTGTAAACTCGTGTATGTCTCCTTGTCTTTCCGTTGTGGCCTACGAGCTACTCTCATAACAAAGAGTAAGTTATTTTTACCCGTTATAAACTACTACTGTTTGATGAGAAATCAAATCATGGTTTGCTATATATGAATTCAGGGAAGAAAGGATAGGCCTACTAAGTATTTCCATTAAACTTTATTTTTAGAAATGTACAAAATGAACATAAATATACATATATACACGGTATATCATCCATTCCTCCTCCTCGCATCTTGCCTGCGCACAGTCGGTGCGGTGCCTTTTAGCACCCTCAGTAGTAGTAGAATCCCTTCCCCGTCATGGATTGTCCGCCAGGATCTGGCTGGACGAAATCAAATGCAAATCACAAAATATTAGAGAAACTTAGTTGTTTTAGATTCGTTAGTAGTAGTTGTGTAATGAACAGCTTGCCTGCTAATATGCTAACCTAGCTTTGTTTACCTTGGTAGCTAACACGATATGAACGTTAGCTTGGAGGAAAGGCAACTATAATGCAGTGTAATAAAACTACTATGAACAAAAGCTAGTGGTTCATATTAGGCTAGCAATAACGTGTTTATAATTGCAATCGTATACGGGTATTCTGCTACGTTCGGTCATACAATGTAACTTGCATGAATACATTGTTTTGCGCTAGCATACAGCTAGCCTCGTTAGCTACATGCAGTATATGTACGGTCACAATGTACGGTAAATCACAGTACAGTATACTGTATGAGTATTCCGTGTGTGTGACTGCAGACATTCTCCTGCCATGACAAACATGTAAGGCCATCTGCTGACATTGTAGTTGATATATTTAAACGCTAGCAACGTAGCATCACAAAATGTTTTTCTGACCAAAACTAGCTCTAGCTCCGTGTGTTAGATCGCTACGCCAGCTATAATGTAATTACGTTTCGCGACTGACCGGCAAATCACCCTGAGTATACTGTCAATAGGTATTTTGTGTGTGAATGCAGACATTCTCCTGCTATGAGATACATGTATGCAAGGCCATCTGCTGATATTAGAGTTGATATATGGAAACTCTAGCAACTTAGTTAGCACAGTTAGCACTGTGTCAATGGCTTAGCAGTCCAACACAGTTTACACATTTAAACAGTCTTGTTTGATAAATACACAAATAACAATGCAAACTTACAGGTTGTATACCCAGATCTTCCCCTGCTCCAAACGGTCCAAACAAGCTGTGCATATCCGGCCTCAAACTGGGCAATGTTTTGGAAGCTTTCGTCTGTGAAATGCCGGTTCTTCGAACCTCTGGAGGAGGAACACGACGCTGCTGGTGTGGCCATAGCTCTTCGGGATTGGGCCATTTCGTTCCGGGTACCGCATGACATCAGGCGGTACCCGGAACTAAATGGAAGACTCAAATGGGCAGTGACGTATCTCCAACGAGGCGTTTTGGGGAGGTATTTTCTGTGTTAGAGTTTTACTCGCTACAGGGTGTACTTTGAGGGTTTTGACTCTGCACACCGTTTACATGCATAAAAACCTTCATAACACACAAGGGGACGGGTAATAACCGGAAAAGCATGACATGGGAGCTTTAACAAAATGTATCAGGAGAGTTATTTTATAACTTATAGACATATAGACATTTTATTTTGGTATTGACATATAATGTGTTATCCTTTTTATTAGGAGCATGTATTTGACCCTACCTTCAATGGTGAGAAGAAGATCTATGCTGGTTCTTCAGTTACAATGGCAGCTCTCCTTCTTCTTCTCATGGCTTTTATCCTGAAGCATGGCCTGTCAAAAGCAGCGACCAAACACCTCCTCGAGCTCCTAAACTTTGTGGTGCCCGGATGTGTGCCAAAGTCAGTGTGGTATTTAGAGAAATACTTTCTTGATTATAATGACAAAACAGAAATTCATTTTTACTGTCCCAGATGTGCAAACTACCTCGGTGTTGAACCAGGTAATGAGTGGTGGCTAGCAGAGCTTGAACAGAAAGGGTCTACTTGAGAAGGCATACTATTTCCTTGTAATGCCACTTAAAGTGCAACTGAGAAATATCCTTGCCAATGTCCAATCAAAGCTAGGCAAGCATTTCACAAGAGATGCCTCCATTTCTGATATCAACACTGGAAGTGAATACAGACGCGAAGCTCAGGAAGTCAACACTGACAGTATTACACTAACCTTCAATTGTGATGGCGCCCCTGTGTTCAATTCATCAAAAACTTCAATTTGGCCCATCTTGTGTACTATCAATGAATTACCATTTGTGGATAGATGTAAAAATGTTCTATTGCATACATTATGGTTTGGCAAAGGGAAACCCAAGGTTCAAAGTTACTTCACCCCATTCATCCATGAACTTCAAAAACTGAGGGACACAGGATTCTATTGGAAAGATGATAATGGATTAGAACAGCGGTTTTCAAAGTGTGAGGCACGCCTCCCCTGGGGGGCGCCAGAGAGCTTCAAGGGAGGCGTGGGGTGAGAAAAAAAAGAACGAGAAAAAGACGAGTAAAGTGACACTTGCCCACTTTTGGCTGTCTGTGGAGACCAAGTTCCCCCACCTCGCCAAAAAGGCTGTAAAAGTGCTCATTCCCTTCACCTCCACCTACCTGTGTGAGTACGGGTTTTCCGCATTGACTTTGATCAAAAGCAAGTGCCGGTCAAGGCTGCAGCCAGAGTATGATCTGCGTTTATTCCTGTGCATCAAAGACGCAGACTCATTGTTCCCACTAAAGTAGCGGTGAGTGTAATAAGGAGGCAAAGTTGACATTCAGTGTGTTGCCGGGAGCATATAAGGATGTATCCACGATGTTGAAAATGTTAAGAAAATATGTGTTGAGAACACGGCGTGCGAAAATATACGGGTCGTTCTGCGGCTAGATTTGCCTGTCCTCTGTAAGAAGGTGTCGGCGACTGACATGCAAGGAAGAACGGCTGTCCACAGGCTGTTCCAACTTTATTAACTTCCAGGGAAGTGAATTGGACGTGCAATTGTAATTGGGTGTGTGGTATATTTTCATGCACGCACACGCACAAACTGAACAACACTCAATTGTCCGATCGCTACCAGTGTCCTTGCTTGCGATCTTGTTATAGCAACAAGTGCACGTTACTGATGCAATATGGTTGAGACCATTCGGGCTTATTTTAGAGGGGTGCAAGGAATAGTCCAAGTAGTGGGGGAGTTTTATACAATATGTTTAAAACATAAAGATAAAAAGGTTTACAAAAGTTATTGTTTAATGTTTTAAGGAGGTGACGCTACTCAGCCAATCAAATCGGTGCAGTCAGTGAGTCAGCACGATAGATTCAAACACACACACAGAGACGAGGAGAGAAACAGTCGGAGTAATTTCAAATGGTGGAAGGTAGACAGCGAAAACAGAGCATTTAATGACATTTTCTCTTACTGGACCTCTTTGAAATGCAATTGAATACCCCTGCATTATAGCAACAACAACAATAATAATAATAATAGCAATAATAATTGGGAGGGGGGGCGCGGCTATTCTTATGTTCTCTGAGGGGAGGCTCACCTTCCCACAACCCCTGGATTAGAACATCACACCAGAGTAACAGCTAAAATATGTATTTGTGATGCAGTAGCAAGGGCAATGGTGCAGAACTTTAAACAGTTCAATGGAGAATTTGGATGTGGTTTTTGCTACCACAAAGGGGGAGGTGGTACCAAAAGGCAGAGGTTAAAGGACCAAGTCCACTGATCCTGTTGCCATCATTTGACCTTATCAAAGGCTTTATACCAGACTACATGCATTGTTTTTGTCTTGGTGTAGTGCGTCAATTTGTTAACCTGTTAAGCCCGAGAGACCCCGGTACCGGGGCACTGCCGCAACATCTTGCAGGAAACAGTGTCTGAGGGCATGTTCATTTAATAAAACTATGAATGTTTTATATCCATGTAACGGGAAGAAACTCATCTAACTGATCTTTTTTTTTTTTAAAAGAAAACCCACAATGCTAACACTGAGCCTCTGAATTAGCAACGAGCGAAAAATGCTAACACCTTACTGCACCGAAAATCACTCACAAAACCTTATTATTTATCTTTTCACCACATCCAACACATCGATTCACATCGTGAGGTGACACATAATCTATTGACATTACCACTGAATTATACGTATTTGAGACGTTATAAGCAAAAACGGACATCAAAACAGGTGACGCTAGGTAGCTAAAAATGCTAACATTTTTACCTTGGCTCTGTAGTCTCTCTAAAGTGGTCTTCAATAGCATTAAAACGATAAAAACGCTGCTGAAGTTAATCCATGGGTTAATCTAATGTGTCTGTGTCCCTTTGAAATGATTTCTGATAATCCATAAGCATTAAAACTGCTTTTCCGTTTCCAGATGTCAAAGCTAGTGATAGGTTCACTCTGATTGAAAATTACATGCGCGAAGCCCCCACCTTTTCTCTTCACAACGTGTGTGTGTGTGGGACTCCCCCTTCGATTCTATTGGCTCTAACGGTCAGAAAGAGGTGTCAACCATCAAAATCGAGCAAGGGGGGCCAGAGATATGGAAAATCCACCCAAATGACCCCAGAAGTGGTTTCTTTTTGCTAAATCTCTCTAAAAAGGTCAAATGTCACTTGTTTTGCATCAATCTTGATACAGGGTACTTATTATATGTTGTACTTTGGATTCCTAAAGCTTTTAGTCTACTAACCCATTGTGGCAGCGGGGTGTGGTTAGGGCACCGGCTGCTGGTGTGAAGGGAGTGGCTCGGCCGGAGCCAGACAGCTGATCGGAATCAGGTAATCAGTCACTGAATAAAAGCATGTGGTAACCTGGTTCTGGTCTGTCTTGCAGTAGGCAGGATCCTGGGAGGTCGCCGAAGGACCTGTGAAGGATCCCACACGGGCAACGTTTTGCAACCTGTGCTAATAAACGCCTGTGTTCAACCCAAACCCTGCTCTTTCCGTCCCTCTTTGAACCCTGGGTGAGCGGAGAGGCTCACAGTGGCGCCTGAACAGGGACAATCATGTCGGAAGGAGAAACCCCGCTGGGTCAGGCCCTCCAACGTCTCGCCCACATGCAGGAGACCACCACAGCATTGCAGCGACAGCAGAGCGAGGCTCTGCTCGGGATCGCCTCGAGCCAGCGCGAGGACCGGGCCCTCCTACGGGAGCTGCTGCAGCGTCCGGCCGCCCGGGAGGCCGATCCCGCAACCAACCCGGCCCGACCGCCTTCGATTGCCCGAACATGTCGAACATTGAAGACAGAGGACGGCGGTCCCCCAATCTACACAGCGGGAGAAAGAATATCATAAAGCAGATCGGAGGGGACTGTCAGGGTTGAGTAAGCAGGCAGGACCCAAATGCAGATTTCCAAGAATAGTCCTTTATTCCAAGGTACAAAGTAGAAACACAGAACACTACCCTGTGACACACAGTCAACTACAAACAATGAACCAACAATGACAGACAGAAAAACCAGAACTAAAATACACAGAAGACCAATCACACAAACAAGACACAGGTGAGGAGGGAGGAGAAAACACAGGAGCACCAGGTGAACACAATCGGGCAATCAGGCAGGACAGGGGTGAACACTTTTCAAAACAAAACAGGAAACCAAAGACAGAAAAAGACAAGACAAAACCCAACACAGACAGATCGTAACAGTACCCCCCCCTCAAGGGACGGATCCCAGACGTCCCAAAAAGTCCCAAAAAGTCCAAAACATTCCAGCAGGGTGGGTGGAGGGGGTCTGGAGGAGGGACGCACAACCAGGACCAACAGGGTGGGTGGAGGGGGTCTGGAGGAGGGACGCACAACCAGGACCAACAGGGTGGGTGGAGGGGGTCTGGAGGAGGGACGCACAACCAGGACCAACAGGGTGGGTGGAGGGGGTCCGGAGGACGGGCCCGGAAGGGGTCCCGGGCGGACGGCCCGGGAGCAAGGCAGAGTCCAAAAAGGGGCGAAGGCCACAGCGGGCGAACTCGGGGACCCAGGCATGAGAGCGAAGGCAGTGGTTGGGAGAGTCAGGGGGGCCGGGCTCGAGGGCGAAGACCACGGCTGGGGAACTCAAGGGGCCGGGCTCGAGGGCGAAGGCAGCGGCTGGAAGAGTCAGGGGGCCGGGCTCGAGGGCGAAGACCACGGCTGGGGAACTCAGGAGGCCGGGCTCGAGGGCGAAGACCGCGGCACTCAGGGGGCCGGGCTCGAGGGCGAACAAGAAGGCGTCTACGGGACAGCTCCGGAGGACGGGCAGGAAGGCGCTGACGGGACAGCTCCGGAGGCCGGGCAGGAAGGTGCCGACGGGACAACTCCGGAGGCCGGGCAGGAAGGCGCCGACGGGACAACTCCGGAGGGCGAGCAGGAAGGCGCCGACGGGACAACTCCGGAGGGCGAGCAGGAAGGCGCCGACGGGACAGCTCCGGAGGGCGAGCAGGAAGGCGCCGACGGGACAGCTCCGGAGGCCGGGCAGGAAGGCGCCGACGGGACAGCTCCGGAGGCCGGGCAGGAAGGCGCTGACGGGACAGCTCCGGAGGCCGGGCAGGAAGGTGCCGACGGGACAACTCCGGAGGACGAGCAGGAAGACGCCGACGGGACAGCTCCGGAGGCCGGGCAGGAAGGCGCCGACGGGACAGCTCCGGAGGCCGGGCAGGACCCAGTATCGGCCGGACAGGAACCGGAGCCGACGGGACAGGATCCTGAACATGACATGGGCTGGTGTCAATGGGACCCCGGATGGAGCAAGGGCTGGTGTCGACTGGACCCCCAACGGAACAGGACACAGAGTTGGCAGGACCCCCGGCGGGACAGGTGTCGGCGGGACCCCCAACAGGACAGGATCTGGTGTTGGCAGGAAATCCGGCGGAGCAGGTGTCGGCGGGACCCCCAACGGGACAGGACAAGGGGTTGGCAGGACCCACAGCGGAACAGGTGTCGGCAGGACCTCCAACGATACTGGACGTGGAGTTGGCAGGACCCTCGGCAGGAGAGTTGTCGGCGGAACCCCCAACGGGACAGGACATGGAGTTGGCAAGACCCCCGGCAGGAGAGTTGTCGGCGGGACCCCCAACGGGACAGGACATAGGATTGGCAAGACCCCCGGCAGAAGAGTAGTCGGCGGGACCCCCAATGGGACAGGACACGGAGTTGGCAAGACCCCCGGCAGGAGAGTAGTCGGCGGGACCTCCAACAGCACTGGATATAGGGTTGGCAAGACCCCCGGCAGAAGAGTAGTCGGCGGGACCTCCAACGGCACCGGACACAGGACCGGCAGGACCCCCGGCAGAAGAGCAGTCGGCGGGACAGGACATGGAGTTGGCAAGACCCCCGGCAGGAGAGTAGTCGGCGGGACCTCCAACAGCACAGGACATAGGGTTGGCAGGACCCCCGGCAGGAGAGTAGTCGGCGGGACCTCCAACATCACAGGACATAGGGTTGGCAGGACCCCCGGCAGGAGAGTAGTCGGCGGGACCTCCAACATCCCAGGACATAGGGTTGGCAGGACCCCCGGCAGAAGAGTAGTCGGCGGGACCTCCAACGGTACAGGACATGGGGTAGGCGTCGGCCGTAGAGCCAACAGGACACGGGGGGCTGGCGTCGGCCGGAGAGCCAACAGGAGACGGGTGCTGGAGTCGGCCGGACCACCGACAGGACACGAGGGGCTGGAGTGGGCCGAACCACTGACAAGACACGAGGTGCTGGAGTCGGCCGGACCACCGAAAGGAGACGGGGTGCTGGAGTCGGCTGGACCACCGACAGGAGACGGGGTGCTGGAGTCGGCTGGACCACCGACAGGACACGAGGTGCTGGAGTCGGCCGGACCACCGACAGGACACGGGGGGCTGGCGTCGGCCGGAGAGCCAACAGGAGACGGGGTGCTGGAGTCGGCCGGACCACCGACAGGACACGAGGTGCTGGAGTCGGCCGGACCACCGACAGGACACGGGGGGCTGGCGTCGGCCGGAGAGCCAACAGGAGACGGGGTGCTGGAGTCGGCCGGACCACCGACAGGACACGAGGGGCTGGAGTGGGCCGAACCACTGACAAGACACGAGGTGCTGGAGTCGGCCGGACCACCGACAAGACACGAGGTGCTGGAGTCGGCCGGACCACCGACAGGAGACGGGGTGCTGGAGTCGGCCGGACCACCGACAGGACACGAGGTGCTGGAGTCGGCCGGACCACCGACAGGACACGGGGTGCTGGAGTCGGCCGGACCACCGACAGGAGACGGGGTGCTGGAGTCGGCCGGACCACCGACAGGACACGAGGTGCTGGAGTCGGCCGGACCACCGACAGGACACGAGGTGCTGGAGTCGGCCGGACCACCGACAGGACACGAGGTGCTGGAGTCGGCCGGACCACCGACAGGACACGAGGGGCTGGAGTGGAATCCACCGGTGGACTGGAGGAGGCAGGAAATGCAGCAGAAGACGTCAAAGTCGAGACCCGAGCAGCGAGGCCCGGGAAGCATAGAGCCAAGGACCGCTGGCTTTCCTCAAAGTCTCGCCACGCCTGCTCATGTTCCTGAGAAATGGCGTGCTGGAACGGAACAGAGGGCGGAACCATGGCTGCCGGGGCCAGAACTGGGGCTGGAACCATGGCTGCATGGGCCGGTTCTGGAGCCGGAACCATGGCTGTTGGGGCCAGAACTGGGGCTGGAACCATGGCTGTGTGGGCCGGTTCTGGAGACGGAACCATGGCTGCTGGGGCCTGTACTGGAGCCCAAAGCATGGCTTCTGGGGGTCGGGCTGCTAGCCTGGACTTGCGACTCCTTCTCCTAGGAGCCTTTTGGAGGCTCCGTGGACCTCCAAAAGCCAGACGAGTGCCCGCGAACGGCTCCTGGACAGGAGCAGGAAATGGGGAAGAAGCAGGGGTTGACTTCAGACGGAACACACCGAGATGTATGGTGTTAGGTTGGGAGTTGGGAGGCAGGGGGCTAGCATGCCTGGGGCTAGCAGGCCGGGAATCACACGTCGAGAGGAAATCCAAAATCCAGTCAGGTAAGAACTTAACTAGAGATGGATCCCCTGTTGCCACCTGGTGAGCCTCTGCCAGAGCAGCCTCTCTCTGCTGAACACTGGACGCTCCCCTCCACCTACTATAGCAGCAAGCCAAAGAAAAGGTAAAATGTTGTAATTCCACCTCAAATGGATCTGCTGGGCCCATTTCTGGTTGGTTCATTCTGTCAGGGTTGAGTAAGCAGGCAGGACCCAAATGCAGATTTCCAAGAATAGTCCTTTATTCCAAGGTACAAAGTAGAAACACAGAACACTACCCTGTGACACACAGTCAACTACAAACAATGAACCAACAATGACAGACAGAAAAACCAGAACTAAAATACACAGAAGACCAATCACACAAACAAGACACAGGTGAGGAGGGAGGAGAAAACACAGGGGCACCAGGTGAACACAATCGGGCAATCAGGCAGGACAGGGGTGAACACTTTTCAAAACAAAACAGGAAACCAAAGACAGAAAAAGACAAGACAAAACCCAACACAGACAGATCGTAACAGGGACATTACGATCTTCTCACATTAGTGCAATTCACCTATACTTAACCACAAATAAAAGAACCCAATAAAAACAGTTGTTAAATAATAGTGAAGTCACGTTGTAATAATAACTCATCTCTCGGTTTGAGTGTTCTTTTTCTGCTTTGCCTAAATTAAATTAGGATAAAAAATCGGGAGAGCCGGCTGCATTTCCTCTCGTTCGTTTTTTTCGACTAAACAACATTATTTTGTTAAATAACAACATGGTGATGTTTTGTAAATGATTACATGTCTTATTTAGCAAAGACTATGATCCTATCCGTGACATATGGATCTTAACAAAGATCCGCTATACATTAGTACCAGACATACTGTACATCCAGCTTACTGTATCGAAGTTGATTTCACATGAGCTCTAGTGTGGAAACCCACTGCACCCCCTGGTGGATCAATAATCCATTGCAGCTGGCTTCACAATAATTAAATGTATTTATCACGGGGTCGGTATCAAGTCAGACTGGGGGCCGGCTCTTCATCACGAACCGATCACGGGCAGATCACGGACCAAACACGGACCAATCACGACCCTCGCGTTTCAAACTGTCTGAAATAAGATGCTCCATCTGTATTTAATGATTTAAATGTATTTTTCTTTATGCTATTATTGTTTTTTTTATAACTCACTGTTTGATCATTAACTGCATTTTGTAATGCATGTGTGTTTGTGTCTGTGACTGGGTAAATCTGT